AATCCATCTCAAATGAAATTTTTTTGTACTCTGAGATAGAATATGTATCTGTTTCACAACCATTTGCTGACAAGACTTTCCCTTCCTCATTAAATTGCATTGGTGCCTTTTATCAAGAACTAATTGACCATATGTTGTGAAGGCCCATTTCTGTGCTTTATGTTGATGGATTTGTCTATCTTTATGCCAGTACATCATTTTGGAAACTACAGCTTATATATAGTCTTAGAACCAGGTATTGAGATCTGCAATTTGGGGAGATTTTCTGTTGTTAAGTGCTGTTGAATCTGTTGCAACTCATAGCGACCCTTTATAGGATTTTCAAAGAGTGACTGCTAGGTGAAACACAGACCTTGTAGTTAGCAAAACGGTGCTTATTATACAGCACCACACCAGGACTCTAGGGCCATTGATTTTCTTTAATAATTTTGAGAATCAACTTGTCATCCTTTTATTATTACTATTATTCCTAAAAAGCCTGTAGGGGTTTTGATTGTGTGAGATTGCTGTGACTATGTTGTTGTTAAGTGCCCTTAAGTCAGTGGTTCCAACTCATAACGACTCTGTGTAGGGTTTTGGAAGCTTTAAATCTTTGGGGGAGTAGAAAGCCTCATCTTTCTCCCGCTCAGTTGCTTGTGAGCTTGAATCACCAAATTTGTTGTTTGAATTACAGTGCGTATCCTATGGCCAGGTGCAGACCCTGGAACAGGCCATCAATTGCTTATGTGCAAGTTCAGGCTGAAGCTGAAGAAAATTAAAACAAGTCTGCCAGAGCCTAAATATGCCCTGCAATATATCCCACCTGAATTTAGAGATCATCTGAAGAACAGATTTAATTCATTAGACACTAAAAAGTGAAGACCAGAGGAGTTGTGGGATGACAATAAGAACATCATGTGGGAAGAAAGCAAAAAGTCTTTAAGAAGACTAAGAAGAAGGGAAAGACCAAAATGGATGTCAGGAGAGATTCTGAAACTTGCTCTCCAGCGTAGAGATGCTAAAGCAAATGGAAGAAATGAGGAGGTGCAAGAGCTTAATAGAAAATTTCAAAGATCAGCTTGAAAAGACAAAGTCAAATATTAAAAAGAAATATGCAAAGATCTGGAGTTAGGAAGCCAAAAGGGAAAAACACACTCAGCATTTCTAAAGCTGGGGGAACTGAAGATAAAAAAAAAAAATTCAAGCCTCAACTTGCAGTATTTAAGGATTCTATGGACAAAATATTGAATGATGCAGAAAACGTCGTATGAAGATGGAAGGAATACTCAGAGTCACTATACCAAAGGGAAATAGTCAGTGTTCAACAATTTCAAGAGGTAGCACATGATAAAGAGCCAATTATATTGAAGGAAGAAGTCCACAGTGCATTGAAGACATTGGTAAAAAACAAGGCACCAGGAGTTGATGGAATATAAACTGAAATCTTTCAACAAGCTGATGCAGCACTGGAGACACTCATTCATCTGTACCAAGAAATTTGGAAGAAAACTACCTGGCCAATTGACTGGAGAAATCCATATTTGTGCCCATTCCAAAGAGAGGTGACCCAACGGAATGCAGAACTCATCATACAATTTCATTAATATCACATGCAAGTAAAATCTTGTTAAAGATAATACAAAAATGGCTGCAACCACACACTGACAGAGAACTTCTAGAGGTTAAAGCTGGGTTCAGAAGAGGACGTGGATTAAGGAATATCATTACTAATGTCAGATGGATCTTGGCTAAAAGCAGAGAATACCAGAAGGATATTTACCTGTGTTTTATTGACTTCGCAAAGGTTTTCAATTGTGTGGATCATGACAAGCTATGGACAACAGTGCAGAGAATGAGTATTCCGGAACACTTAATTGTGCTCATGAGGAACCTGTACATAGACCAAAGGGTAGCTGTTTGAACAACAATGCCTAAGGTATTTATATATTCCATTTCCTTTTTTCATGACTTCCCATTTTCCTCGATACATACCTCATACACTGCATGTTATGATTTTGGATGTCTGTAGCTGTCTCTTCCCATTTTGAGTTGTGCCCTATCAGCAAATTAAGGTCCTGAAATTTTTGCTCCATTTATGTCATTAAGGTCGAATCTACTTTGAGGAGTATTTTCCCAGTAGTAATTTGAATTCCTTCCAACCTGTGTGGCTTATCTTCTGGGACTATATCTGACATGTTCTCCTGCTCTCCATAAGGTTTTCAGTGGTAACCATTTAGAAGTATTCTGCCTGTCCTACTTCCTAATCTATTTTAGTCTGGAATCTTCCCTGAAATCCATCCACCATAGGTGACCCTGCTGGTATTTAAAATATTGGTGCCATAGCTTCTAGCATCACAGCAATACACAAGCAACAATAGTATGATAAAGTGACAGATAAATGTTGGAGTATTTTCAGTGTGTGTTGATGTTGTTGTTAAATGTCATTGAATTGGTTCTGATTCATAGTGACCCTGTATAGAGTTTCCAAGGAGTGGCTGCTGGGTTTGACCCGCTTCCCTTTTGATTAGCAATCCAGTAGTTATCCTACAACAGGCCTCCATATTTTCTTTTAGGAGTCCATGTTTTCAGTAGGCAACATAAAACAAAAACACAAATAAAACCTTCATATTTGTTCTATTCAAAACATATTTACTGTGTTTGAAGGTCTCTATGGAATGGAATTTATCAGAGTCCTGGTGTGGTGCTGTGGGCTAATGCGTCAGACTGCAAAGTTGTTTGAACTACAAGATCGGTGGTTCAAGCTCACCAGCTGCTCCTTAAAAACCCTATACAAGGTCGGAAGTGACTTGACAGCACTTAACAACAAAATTGAATCAATCACTTAAAAAATATACATTTCCACGATCTGTTCATTTAAAGGGTTTAGAAGCTAGGACCCTGATAGACATCAGTATAACTAACATCCTCAACTTGTTTTTTAAACATTATTTTGTGTGGTGCTGTTGGATCACCACTGGACTGTAAACCACAAGGTCGGCAGTTCAAACCCACCAGCTGCTCATTGAAATGCTATGCAGGGTCACTATGAGCTGGAATAAACTCGGTGGCACTTACCAACAAGAGGAATCCAGGATCCTTGGATTTTTCGGTTTGGGGTAGGAAAGGTGAGTCTGGACATCTCATTTGCTCAGTTCCCAAGTAATCTCTACAGACTCCAGTGTCCTTTGAAACAGAAGTGTGCTTGAAAGGGCTCACACTGGTCAATTTGGAAGTAAAAAAAAATAACCTATTCCCATAGCTTGATAACATTTCAAATGAAGTTTTCCTATGTATCAGTTGGCTTACTGGTTTCACACTCTTCCTGAACTTTACTTAAAAAAAACCAAAAAAAAAAAGGTATTGAAAAAACAAAAGAAAAAACTTGGCTGTTGTTTTGTGCCTTCAAATTGGTTCTGACTCATGGTGACCCTGAATAGGGTTTGGGAGGAGCAGTTTGTGAGTTTTGAACCATAACCTTGCTTATTCTATAGCTCCACATCAGGACTTCATAAAAAAATTGAGACTAGTAAAAGATATAATAACCAAATGCAATGCATTTGCAAATACAATGATTAAATCCTGGTTTAGAAAGCAAAATAACTATAAAGCAGTTACTTGTTAAGTGCCGTTATGTCGATTACTTGTACAACTGGGGAAATAGAAATATGGACTGGATTTTAGATAGTTATTAAGATAAGTGTTAAGTTTCTTAAAGGGTTGCTAAATGTTTTCTTGGCAAGCCTCCTTTAGTAGTCATTTTCTGTCTGGCTTAAAGAGTCTGATGACATTAGCCTCGATCTTTTTATTTCCCCTACCGTTTTATCAGTTCAGTTCAGGTCTTTATCACTTCATTTTAAACAGCTTTATTGAGGGACGTCACATGTCATGTAATTCACTATTTGGTGGATCAACCATCACTACAATGAATTTTGGAACGCTTTCACCACCCCATAAAGAAGTTCCCCATCAGGCTTTCATTACTTTTGGTCTGGTTTCTTACAATTTTCTAGTTAATTCATAATCTTCAACTCTCTCTTTGTTTCAAGTCGTCTCAAGTACACAACACGCCCAGTTTTGACTTCCTTAAAACACGTTTTGGATATTAAATGCCCTTTCCGTTAGGTAACTTCAGTGACTTCCCCTAAGGGACGCTTGGACGCGAGTAAACAAATATTTATTAAACACACAGAATTAGGATATAGTCATTGTTAACATTTGTTTGTTATTCCAGGCACTGTGCTACGTGCTGGGAACACAGGATTTTATTGCTGCCTTAATTTCCAATAGTGCCTCTGCTCGGGACTTCCCTCTATCTCCTCTACCCCCTCATCATCTCAAGGAAATCTTCTCCAACCTTCAAGGGCGATAGTCCCTGGCAAGTGGGTGCAAACCCTGCAGCACTCGTGTCTTTAGCACTCGCTTCCACACGCTTCCATTCGCAGAACTGAACATATCTCATGGACGCAGCAATACTCTTTTCAGCGGAACCGCTAATCACTAACGTCCCTCTCCATACTTGTTTATTTCGCCATACTTGGTGGTGGTGGTGGTGGTTATGGGCCGTGGAGTCAGTTCCGACTCATAGCGACCCTGTACAGCGTTTCTGAGGCTGTAAATCTTTACGGGAGACGAAAGCCTCATCTTTCTCCTGCGGAACAGCTGGTAGTTTTATTCTCCAGTATTTACATCTCTCTTTCATCTAACCCTCTCGACCGGAAATGACTTAGCTAGAGGGCGCCTCGGAAATCCTAGGAATCATAGATTTGAGCGACTCGTGGGAAGAGCGGGCTAGAAGGATCGGCTTTTCTGAGTCACGTGTGCGCGAAAAGCCCTTCAGACCTCAAGTGTCAGATCTTCCATTAGGGAGAACAGGACCGCCCCCTTCCCGCGCTCCTCGGCGTCCCGGGCCCTCCCTGACGCTGGCCGTGACGTAAGCAGACTGGGGGTGACCTCACCCTCCATCATGGCGGCGGCAGTAGATTAGGGCCGTGGGTCGAAGAAAGCACCACTGCTGGGGGACCCTGTCCGAAGCAACTGCCGCCGCCGCCACCGCCTCTTCTTTCGTCTCTTCTGGGGCAGGGGCCAGGGCCAGGTGAGGGGAGTGGGGCTTCGGGCACACAGAACGGGGTGAGGAGGAGGCGGTTTCACCTCAGTAGGACGGTGTTTAGAGACTGCCGACTCCAGCGGCTCCCCAGTGGTCCCAGCGACTCGTGAGTGAGAGAAAGTGTGTTTATGTGCCGACTTCGCTTAGAGTCCGCGAAGCCACGGGGTCTATTTCATCATATTGGACTTGCCCAGCGTGGTCTCACCGCATGTTGAGCGTAGCTTCTCCCTAAGTGGGCTTCCTGAGACGTAGGAACTTAGCCCCTTTTCTACATCACGCTTCTACCCCATATGTCTCTTCACTTGGGAAACTCGTGTTCCGTTTTTAGGACCAGGATGGGGAACGTGGGCTTCCCTTAATCGCGGAAGAGGTTTTCAGGCGATTCACTTGGCATGGTTATAGACCCGTCCTGTCAAGTCTTTGATTCTTAGAGTCCTGGACCACTTATTTTAAATTCTTAAAAACCTGCCTTGCTCTCAGAGACAGTAAGGTTCACAGTAAGCTCTTGTTTCAACATTACAAGGGGACGGAAAAGGAGGATCCTAAGTTTCTTCATAACAGAATGTGAGAGAGAACGCCCAGACTTTTTGAGTTGAGGCTTTAACTAACGAGGGTTGAACGCTGGACGATCCGGCTAGTTCTCTTGGTCTGAGCTGATTGTAATTTTCTTTAGCTGTTAACCACTCCCCACGCAAGAGTTTATTTATCCGTAGCTCTTAGTCGTCAATTTCGCTCTCTGTGCCTAGTTAGCAGTTGTGAACTGAGCTGACAGTTTGTCTCCCTCCCCCACTTTTTGGTAAAGCAGAACAAACAAAATCTTCCTTTTGTGAAATTGCCAGTTAAGCGTTCCCCTGGAGGTTTGGAGAAACCCGAATGTTGATCTCTGCCTTGACTTGTTGTGTGACCTTGGATGAGTTGCCACACCCTTCTGGTGTCTTTTTTAAAAAAAGACACCACCCCCACCCCACCCCCACCCCGGGAAATGAAGCAAATGCTGTGTAGGAGGTGAAAGGCTTAGACTTCATGTACTCTCGTTGGACATTTGTATTTGCACATGTGTATCCTGCAGATTGAAAAGATTTAAGCTGTTATTTAAGCTCTCTTTATTTGATAATAGGCAGTTCAGCGTTTTGAAATTCACTTAATTCTGAATGGTCAGGTACTATTCTGAATGTTCCCCCCTCTCCCAATGACTCATTTGATTGTGGAGGAATTCAACTCCTACCATAGCAGTTGAATTCAATTTAGGGTGGGTAAGGTTGAATCCAGCTAGCCTTGTAAGACAGGTGTACTCGCTAGTTAATCAGTTAATACATAGTTATGAATACCTCAAACAGGTATTTAGGATAAGTGATATGCAGCAATAATAATCACTGTTTTAAAACTACTTTTCTTGAGAAATACATTAGATATACGAAACCGAATCTTGAAACAAACTATGGTGCTTTTTAACACTTTTTTCAAGCATGAATCTAATTCAGATCTTAATCCAAAAAACCAAGAGTTCTTATTTAATATTACAGAATTGAAGGGGGAGCCATTTTCAGAGTAGCTGATTTTTTTTTTTTAAACAGCTTCGTTGAGACCATTGGTGGTTATGTGCTGTGCAGTTGGTTCCGACTCATAGTGACCCTGTACAGGGTTCCCGAGGCTGTAAATCTTTACAGGAGCAGAAAGCTCTTTTTCCCACGGAACAGCTGGTAGTTGAGGTTTGCAGCCCTATTCGTAACCTCTGCGCTACCCACCAGGGTTCCTTTTAGCATACATATAATTCACCAGTCCTACAATTCAATGATTTTTAGTATATTCACAGCTGTGTAACCATTTTCATTACCCTGAAAGAAAAATCATACCTAATAGGAGTCACTCCCACACTTAGCCCTCATCCCATACCAAGCAACAACCAATTTGCTTTTTAACTGTATAAGATTTGCTTGTTTTGGACATTTCAAGTATAAGTGGAATCATAACATTTGGTGTTTAGCAGCTGATTTCTTTTACTTAGCATAAAGTTTTCAGGGTTCATTCATTTGGTAGTATGTATCACTACTTCATTCCTTTATCATCGTCGTCGTTAAGTGCCGTCAAGTTGGTTCTGACCCATAGCGACCCTCTAGGGGGGTTTCCAAGGAGCGACTGGTGAGCTTGAACCACCAACCTTCCAGTTCAAACTGACTTTGCAGTCTAGTGCATTAACCCTTAGCGCCACACCAGGGCTCCTCATTCCTTTTATATGGACAAATAATGCTACACTGTACAAAGATGCATTTTATTTAGTATTCATCAGCTGATTTAGGTTGTTTCTACCTTTTGTGTATAAGTTCCCGTATAGATAATGTGTTTTCATTTCTCTTGGAGTTGTTGTGTGTCGTGGAGTTGGTTCCCACTCATAGCAACCCTGTACCGGTTTCTGAGGCTGTAAATCTTTACGGGAGCAGAAAGCCTCATCTTTCTCCCACGGAACAGCTGGTAGTTTCGAACTGCTGACCTTGAGGTTCGCAGCCCGATTTGTAACCACTACACTACCAGAGCTCATTATACCTAGGAGTAGAACATGGTAATTAGATTTTATGTCTATTTTGAATTTATGTCTTTATTGGCTTTTACAATTATGTGGGGTTTAATATCCACAAACTTTATACCCGTAAATGGGAAACTTGGTTAATTGATTGTGCAAGTCAGATTTTATGTGTATATGTTTGTGGGAAAGTGTGAGACTTTTTTCTCTATGTTACCTGGAAACGCCAACTGCTGAATGAAATTGTTTCCAGGGCAGCTTGTTACAAGATTGAACTAGATGGTTTTTCAGTTAGGCATGTATGTTCATTCAGTTAGAAGAGAGTCTAGAAAACAGTACTGAGTGTCTGGCTGAGTTTTTCAAATGACATCCTGCTCAGTTGCATTTCTCAGTTGGGTGGGGTGAATGTTTGTTAAGGTTTATTTTATTTTACTTCTTTTGGAATAAGTTCTAGGATTCCATGTTGTATGCGTTGAAGTTGAAAGGAATCTATAGGAACTAAGAAAGCATGGATTAGAAAATGCAGTTATTGGATTTCATGTTAATTTGTGGAACTTTAGAACAAATTTCCTGGAAAATGTTTTTTTTCTCCTGGTCATACTACCAGTGAACCTTTAAACTAGAGATCTAGTAGCCAAGAAACTTTGTTACTGTTTAAAATTCCAGTTTTAACTTATTATCTGAATTTTTACATTTTCTCTCTGTAAACAGGGTTTATATAGATGTGTTACACTGTTATTAGAGTACTTAACAATCTTACTATAATTTTATCTAAGTGGAAGTAAATGGTGGAAAACAGAACTTCCTGAAATAATTTAATGAAAATTGTAAAGCGTGGTGTATTTTGGTTATTTTTCTTTTGTTGTTGATAAGTGCCGTCCAGTAGGTTCCAACTTATAGTGACTCTGTAGGGCTCCCAAGGAGTGACTGGTGAAATTGAACCATCGACCTGGCAGCAGTTCAGTGCATTGTCCCACACCAGGACTCGTAAGATTAGTTGTTGTTGTTAAGTGCTGTTGAGGCCGTTCTGACTCAAACCAACTCATAGCAACGCTGCATAGGGTTTTCAAGGAGAGGTTGGTGAGCTTGAACCACTGACCTTGTGGATCAAACTGATTTTGCAATCCAGCGTATTAACCCACAGTCCCACACCAGGACCTTTTGGTTAGCAGTCCAGTATTAATCCTATAGCTCCACTGCATTCCCTGATTCTAGTCTAAAGAAAAGCAAACCATTTATTGTATGGTTGTGTATATTGCATTTATTATTGGAGGATCATGATATTTTACTTGATATAAGTGCAGAGATGCCAACAAATTGGTATATAAACAGAGGGTTAAATTATCCTTAGTTTCTTCAGATTGCTCATCTGGCCAACTATTTGAACAAGCTAAATCTTTGGCAGGGAAAGAAACAGATGAGTCACAATGTATTCAGTAGTTTGTTTGAATTGTGCAAAAGATATGTACTTTTATATTTATAATTTTTTACATATTTAATAAGTGTTTTTGAAGCTTTTTATTGTGACTTGAGTGAAGGTTTACAGAACAGATTATCCATTTTACATTCAGCAAATCATACACTTCCTTTCTTCTCGATTGCAATCCCTCTCAACATAACATCACAAAACTCCCTCCCTGTATTTCTTGTTTCTGTAATCTTTTCCCCATCCTTCTGAATTTTGTCCTTAGGTAAATGTTGTCCCTTTGATCTCTAATGGTTGACTATTCTGTGCTATGGTGTGCATACCTCACTAATGTTGTCCTCTCTCATATATACCTATCTATTGCTTGGCTGACAGTTGAGCTACAGGGGTAAGTTCAGTTACAAGCCTGAAGGGTGACCAAGGGCCATAGTTCGGGGTTCCACAAGTAAGCATTATTTTTTAAAATGGTTTTGATTTCACTTTACATTTTCTCTCACTCTTACTCTATTTAGGACCTTGTAGTATGATCCCTTTAAAGGAGCTCTGGGAGCGTAGTGGTTATGAATCAGACTGCTAACCTCAAGGTTGGCAGTTTGAAACTTAACAGTGGTTCCGCAGGAGAAAGATGAGGCATTCTGCTCCCGTAAAGATTTACAGCCTCAGAAACCCTGTGCAGGGTCGCTATGATTTGGAAGTGACTCCATGGTACTTAACAACAATGTGATTCCTTTCAGTGCAGTTGGTGGTAGTAGCTAGACACCATCTAGTCCTGGTCTCAGGGTTATGGAGATTGATGTTCACATGATCCATTTGTCCATTAGACTAATTGTTTCCCATCATCTTTAATTTCCATCACTTATCCTTACTCTTGACATCAAAAGAGTGTACGTTAGTGACCGCTCATAAGCTTATTTTAAGACCTAGATGCTACACACCAAAGTAGAATATAGAATATTGTCTTTGTTGTCTATGTTTAACCAGTTTTTTTTTTGTTTTTTTTTTTAAAATTTGAATTTTGTGATTGCTTACATGGGAGAAATTAGC